CACCGCCACATCGGCACCAACCCACACCGTGCCCTCCGGGTCCGCCCAGACGCTCTCGGCCGTGAAGCCCCACTGCTTGAGAAGGTGTTTGACGCTAAACGCGAAAGACGTGAGGATGCGCTTGGGGAGAACCATGTCCCTCTTTGCCCAAATATCGTTCCCGCCCTCCTTGAGAGAGGCCTGGCGGAGGAGTTTCACGGCAGTGTCCCTGTCAGCACGGCTCCTGAATCGAACGAAGATGAGACCACGAAACTCCCTTTTAGAGTACACCTCTGCCGGCTGCGGCCCGTAGAGGTCCCACATGTTCGCCTCTATCCACTTCTTCGCGTTCTCCGTGCTGCCGATCGTCTGAAGGCCACCGACCACCGCAGTGTACTCCTCGTATTGGTTCCCATTGCTCTTCTGCGTGTTGTCCATCAGCTTGAGCTCCGAGATCTGGGCCTCCAGCATCTTCAACTGTTCTCGCACTTCTGCATCTGTCCGGGAACCCGCCGAACTGGTTTCCAAGTGCGTCAGGCGCGCGTCCATGTTCTCCATCTTGCTCTCTACCTCCGTCATCCTCTCCTCCATGGTCCCTCCGATCTCTGTCACTTTGCGCTCTAAGCCCTCCACCGCCTTCCGAAGTGGCTGCACCTCCTGCTTCAAAAGGTTCGCGATCTGCTGGAGCGTTGGCGGCTGCGCCGCTGCCTCCTCCGGAGTGCCCGGTGCCATTGGCGAAGATATCTGATGTACCTCCGGGCGCGGCGGGGACAAGTCGAGGTCGTCATCCATCTCGTGGAGGGGGCTAAACAAGCGGCGACGAACGTCTCGGGTGAGAGTTTCGGCAACTGGTGTTCCTGGCCCACGCGTCATCGGAAGGTACGGGTATGGGAATGGAAAATGGGAAATGTTGGAATAGGAAGAATTGGAGAGTAATCGGAATGGAAAATGGGAAATGTTGGACTTGCCCTTGAGCCAATTCGACCCCTTGAGCCAAAATGGCTTGAGCCAAAATGGCTTGAGCCAAAATGGCTTGAGCCAATTCGATCCCTGGGGGGCTGCGATCTGTAAAACTGCCGCCATTTTCGAGGCCTGCTGGGGGGCCCAGCACAGTGACGCCACGGGCAGATTCAAATGATACCTCGCCATCCCTGGGGGGGTGCGATCTGTGAAACTGTCGCCATTTTCGAGGCCTGCTGGGGGGCCCAGCACAGTGAGGGCCACGGGCAGATTCAAATTAGACCTCGCCATCCCTGGGGGGCTGCGATCTGTGAAACTGTCGCCATTTTCGAGGCCTGCTGGGGGGCCCAGCACAGTGAGGGCCACGGGCAGATTCAAATTAGACCTCGCCATCCCTGGGGGGCTGCGATCTGTGAAACTGTCGCCATTTTCGAGGCCTGCGGGGGGCCCAGCACAGTGAGGGCCACGGGCGGATTCAAATTAGACCTCGCCATCTCTGCGGGGGTGCGATCTGTGGAAACTGTCGCCACTTTCGAGGCCTGCTGGGGGGCCCTGCACAGTTACGCCACGGGCATATTCAAACGAGACCTCGCCATCCCTTGGGGGGGCTGCGATCTGTGAAACTGTCGCCACTTTCGAGGCCTGCTGGGGGGCTCAGCACAGTGAGGGCGACGCGCAGATCAAATTAGACCTCGCCATCCCTGGGGGGCTGCGATCTGTGAAACTGTCGCCATTTTCGAGGCCTGCTGGGGGGCTCAGCACAGTGAGGGCGACGCGCAGATTCAAATGAGAGCTCGCCATCCCTGGGGGGCTGCGATCTGTGAAACTGTCGCCATTTTCGAGGCCTGCTGGGGGGCCCGCACAGTGAGGGCGACGCGCGGATTCAAAGTAGACCTCGCCATCCGTTGGGGGTCTGCGATCTGTGAAACTGTCGCCACTTTCGAGGCCTGCTGGGGGGCCCATCACAGTGACGGCCACGCGCGGATTCAAATTAGACCTCGCCATCCTTGGGGGGGGGCTGCGATCTGTGAAACTGTCGCCATTTTCGAGGCCTGCTGGGGGGGCTCAGCACAGTGAGGGCGACGCGCAGATCCAAATTAGACCTCGCCATCCCTGGGGGTGCTGCGATCTGTGAAGCTGTCGCCATTTTCGAGGCCTGCTGGGGGGCTCAGCGCAGTGAGGGCGACGCGCAGATTCAAATTAGACCTCGCCATCCCTGGGGGGGGCGGCGATCTGTGAAACTGTCGCCATTTTCGAGGCTTGCTGGGGGGCCCAGCACAGTGAGGGCGACGCGCAGATTCAAATTAGACCTCGCCATCCCTGGGGGGCTGCGATCTGTGAAACTGTTGCAATTTTCGAGGCCTGCTGGGGGGCCCAGCACAGTGACGCCACGGGCAGACTCAAATTAGACCTCGCCATCCCTGGGGGGCTGCGATCTGTGAAACTGTCGCCACTTTCGAGGCCTGCTGGGGGGCCCAGCACAGTGACGCCACGGCAGACTCAAATTAGACCTCGCCATCCCTGGGGGGCTGCGATCTGTGAAACTGTCGCCACTTTCGAGGCCTGCTGGGGGGCCCAGCACAGTGACGCCACGGGCAGACTCAAATTAGACCTCGCCATCCCTGGGGGGGGGGGGGGGGCTGCGATCTGTGAAACTGTCGCCATTTTCGAGGCCTGCTGGGGGGCCCAGCACAGTGAGGGCCACGCGCGGATTCAAATTAGACCTCGCCATCCCTGGGGGGCTGCGATCTGTGAAACTGTCGCCATTTTCGAGGCCTGCTGGGGGGCCCAGCACAGTGACGCCACGCCGTCCCTGGGGGGCTGCGATCTGTGAAACTGTCGCCACTTTCGAGGCCTGCTGGGGCGGCCAGCACAGTGACGCCACGCGCGGACCCAAATTAGACCTTGCCGTCCTTTGGGGGCTGCGATCTGTGAAACTGTCGCCACTTTCGAGGCCTGCTGGGGGGCCCAGCACAGTGACGCCACGCGCGGACCCAAACTAGATCTCGCCATCCCTGGGGGGCTGCGATCTGTGAAACTGTCGCCACTTTCGAGGCCTGCTGGGGGGCCCAGCACAGTGACGCCACGCGCGGACCCAAATTAAACCTCGCCATCCCTGGGAGGCTGCGATCTGCGATCCTTCCTTTCGAAGTGGCTAGGGTTGCTCAGGGATTGTAACTAATCCGCTTTATCTAGTCCTTGTCCTGTAGCCAGTGTCCTGCGAGTCTCCCGAATTCCGTCTGCAGACATATGTAACCCTCGCTCCGTCATCGCCCCCCTTATAAAGTGTCCTAAACTATTTGCGCCCCGCGTTTGCGCAGGGGTTGGGTACGTCGCCAGGGTAATTTCATTATTCGGCCCTGTAGGAGAGAGCAAAGGGGTGGGAGATAAGGACGGAGCTGGTAGTTCGACGGCATCCCGTTCCACCATTGTCAAGTGTGCGGGGTGTGGCATTTCTCCCAGCATCAGCGCTTCGAGCACTCGGTCTGAGTTGGTCCTCGCCCGCTTCTTCACCTTCCCTTCCTTCATCCGTCCAGGTGCAAGGGGTGCGCGCACGGGAACACCAGTGGCAGCCTGACGTTCACTCGCACTTCGCCTCCCCAGACACCCGATGGGGGGCCGTCATCTGACAACCCCACCGATCCCGTCAGGGCCTTCGCTGCGTGCGCAAGGGAGTGGCGCGGGGTGGGGGCTTTTAAGAAGGCAGGGGGGCTTCTTGAGAAACCCCATTCTGGCTTCTAAGAAGCCTTCTTAGAACACCGAGGCGGTTCCAAGAAGTTGCCTGCCTTCTGAAAAAGTCCCTCGCCATCTTCGAAGCCCTCCCCAGTCGCGCCACCCCCCTCTGCGCCACCCCCCTCTGCGCCAAGAACCGACCCTGGGCCCAGGCCGGCCCTCCCCTGGCCTCCCTGGCCTGGCCGGGAGGCCGCATGCACCGACCGCTGAGGCCCAGGAGTGGGCCTTCAGCCAGGATCGGCGGGATGCGACCCGTCGACGACCCCCCCCCCTCTGAGACCCGACGTTGCGACGCAATGGCGCCATCGAAGGAAATCAGAATCGCAGCTCCAGATCCCAACTGTTTTCTGCGGCGTCTTTCGGGCCTTGGCATCTCTTGGACGTGTGCACTTCTTCTCGGCGGGGATCATTGAGGAGCATCCTGGATCATCCCGCGAAAAGCACACACACACACGCACACACACACGAACAAAAAACAAAAAACAGGGAATGGACGTCCGAGCGATGGCCAGGGGCCGCATCGATGCGACTGCGACCCTGCCTCCGCGGCCCGACGCCGGGCGGCAGCGCCCTTCAGTTGCAGCGCCGGGATCTCGGGGCCCGACCCGACCTCGCGCCTGGCCGGGCGTTGCGTAATGGGGGGGTCATAAATGGGGGGGCGGCGAGGGTGGTCCGAAAAGGTACCCAATGGGGGGGTCATAAATGGGGGGGCGGCGAGGGTGGTCCGAAAAGGTACCCAAACGGTACCTAAACGAGCCCCCTGGGGCTCTGGAGGGGCCCGAAAGGGGCACGAAAGGGGACCTTTTCTGACCCCCCCATTTGTGACCCCCCCATTAAGCAACGCCCAAGCAGAGTTTCCGATACTGCTACTTCCTTAGGGGAGCGAAGAGCGACGTAGAGACAAAGGCTCGGAGGTCCGCGCGGATTCCTCGGATCCGCGCTGGACCCCCTTTGGAGGCGCCTCCGGCGCCGCCCCTGGCGCGCTCCGCGCGCCAGGGAGGGGGTCCAGCGCGGATCCAAGAAATCCGCGCGGACCTCCGAGTTTTTATGTTCGTGTCATTTCTCGTTCCCCCATGCCTGGACCTCTCCCAGGGTGCGTTCTGGCCAGGACTTCGCGAGGCAAATCCAGCGGTGGCGACGGGGGCCTCCCAGGAGGGCGACCGAGGGGAGAACGGGCGAAGGGGTAGCGGTACGGGTACCTTTTCCACCGCCGACCGATGGCGCTGCTGCTGAGCCCCGCCGCCGCGGCCCCGTTGGCCGCGGGGCGGCCCGGCAGCCCCGCCGCGTCTCTGCCAGCGCGCAAGGCGGCGGCGCAGACGCCGCGCCACGGGGGAGCCCGGGCGCCCGCGGCGGCGCTGCCGTCCGCCGCCGCCGCGCTCGCCGGGGCCGCTCGGAGGGCACCAACTACATGTTACTTCTGAGGGGGGAAGAATCAACAGAAAAGGTGCCCATACCGCTGCCCCTTCGCCTGTTGCCCCCGTTTTCGTCTTCCTGGGAGGCCCTCGTCGCCACCGCTGGATTCGCCCCGAAATCCGGGTCAAAACGCACCCTGGGAGAGGTCCGGGGAGCTGCGGTATCGGTACCTTTTGGTTTCTCCATCTACAGGGGACAAGAGGGTTGGATTCCCGCTGGTTCTTTTAAAGGCACCACTGTTCAAAATTCGTTTGGGCATGTCCGAAACGAGCATGCCCAGCACAACCGCATCCAAATAGACTGCTCTAAACTCGTTCAGGCATGCTCGAAAGCATGCCAACGTACATTTCTGACGCACGCCCAGCGACCCCGCACGCACGCCTTGCGCACGCAGGCATAATTTGGCCTCCCAGGGGTTTTAGAATAATCGAAGGGAGCCCAACAAAAAGGTACGGATACTCGCAGGCGATGTCTCGCTCCCCACACGATTCTTCAAAGAGAAATCCATTTGCGTAAAAGGAAAAGGAACTTGGGGATACACCCCTATAGAGATTCGGACGCACCCGAATTATCGAGGATGGACGCCCCCCCACCGCATATCCCCGAGATGGGCCCCGAATCGTTCGTCCAGTCGAAGAACCTCAGGTCCGGGATTGGGGTGGCCATGCCCTTCATTAGATTCTTGCTGCCATCCAGACCTCTCCCAGGATGCGTTCGGACCAGAATTCCGAGGCGGGTCTAGCCGCGGCGGCGAGGGCCTCCCTTGGAGGCCCAGGAGGGCGGAAACGAAGCAAGGGCAGCGGCATCGGTACAGTTTCTCTGCTGAGCCGGGCCCCAACGATAGCACACCTGCGCCGATCTTGGACAGGCCGATCTTGGGCCCAGGGCCGTGTGGCGTACGCACCGATCCTGGGCCCAGGATGAGCCTGGCCAGGATCTGCGTAGCGTGTGTAGCTGGCGTTTTTCTCGCCGCTCCGCCGCCTCGCCGCTGACGAAAAAAGTGTGGCTGGCTTCCTCCTAGGCCGCGCTGCTGCTGAGGCGGAGGGCGCCTTGGGGGCCGCATCCGTGGTGCCTGGCGGCAGTGGTTCCGCCGGCCGGGGGTCCGCTTCTGGAGCAGGAGAGGATCCATGAGTTCGTTTTTTTTTTTGGCCGGGCTCCTACAGTGGAGACCCATGCAAAGAAACACACTGCTTGCCTCCAGGGTGCCCTGGGTTTCTTGGGCTTCGGTCGTTTTGCGATGAAGAGCGCGACGTTCCCACACCAGAAATCGATGGACGTCCTGGGGTCTCAGGGTTGGGTTTTCTGTGGAAGGTTCTCTGTGGACGGGCCCCCACCGTACTGGTTGCTCGGTGGGTACTCGCTCGGGCCCCTTGAGGCCACACCGAGGCCCCGGGGCCGTCGCAAAGACATGCAGGCCGAGGCGCTGAACTATAAGGACCACCTCGGGCTCGGGAGGGTCTGTGGTTTTCGGGCCGTTCGTTTGTCCGGGAGTCTCTTCGTGGCCGAGGCTCGTTTTTTGGCGCTCCGCATGCCAGCACGATGGCTGCGTATCTCAGCGGCAACGATAGGGGCGATAGGCATAGGGGGGCTGCATCGACCCCTAATCGCCTATTGATCGCCGATAAGGGCCCGATAGCCCCAAGCTGCCCAGGAAGGTGCGGATTCACTATCGGAGGCCTATCGCCGATCTATCGGCGATGTATCGCCGATTCCAGGTCGATGCATCTCCCTCCTATGCCAGTCCCCCCCTGTCGTTGCCCCTCATGGGTAGAGCTGAGGAGAGCCCCAGGAGAAGCCCTGCGGTGCTGGGCCTGTTTCTCTCAGGATCCGAAGCGGAGCGAACTGAAGATCCGTTCCGGTTCGGTGCCCCGTCTGACTTGGCGCGGGTCTTAGAGCCCTTCTCCGTGTCCTCTGCCTCGTTCTCCTCTGCGCCTCCAAGGGCCTCGGTATGCCTTCTTGGACGCCTCGTGGGGGCTTCGTGAGGCTTTTCTGGCCGTCACAGGGGGACGTCTTGGAGCCTTCGGGCGACCCACCGAGCTTTTGTGAACCTGCTCTGGGAGCCTTGCGGTCGAGCCTCGAGGCCGTCCTGGAGCTCTCCTGGGGCTGGCCTGTCTCAGGAGGGGGCGATGTCCGAGGCGGCTCTCTGAGGAGCCCAGGAAACCTTCTGGTCGGGAACTTCAGCATAGCGTGTCGCGCCGCCGGTTCTTGCCCACCGCGCTTCGGCACGACGCGCTGACCACCTTCCAGTCCCGAAGCGTCAGCGTACCGAGACTTTCCCCGCCTCCTGCCAGAACACGCGAGAACGGGAGGCTGTTCTGGCAGGGCCTCGGGGTCCATCTCACGGGCACGGTGAGGTTACCACTAAGTCGGCGGGAGCTGCTTTGCTGGAGCTTTGTAATGGGTGAGGATGTTAAAAAATAGCCTGGCGAAGGACCCAACCAGATGCAGCTGCGAATAACGAAGGATCTGACCTTCTCATCATAGGCACGGGGCAACGCGGATGGGAACCCCAAAACGTGTGCGGGGTGTGCCGAAGCAGGCTGGGGGACGCATGCGGGCGCTGCCACTGGGGCCTTCGGCGGAGCTCCCTATGGGCCAAGAAACATGTGAGGGTGGTGTCAAAAGAGGCAGAGGAAGGCATACGAACCCTGCCACTGGGGCCTTCAGTGGAGCTCTACATGTGGCCGCGAGGCGTGTCAGGGGTGTGCCAAATAAAATTGAGGCGACGCTGCCATGCGAACCCTGCCGCTGAGGCCTGCAGTGGAGCTCCCTATGTGGCCACGAAGCATGTGAGGGGTGTGTCGATATGGGGCCGCCATGCGAACCCTGCCACTGGGGCCGTCGGTGGAGATCCCTATGGGGCCGCGGAATGTGCGGGGTGTGTGCCGAAATGTGGCGGGGCCGCCGTGCGAACCCTGCCATTGGGGCCTTCGGTGGAGCTCCCTATGGGGCCACGAAGCGTGCGGTGTGTGTGTGTGTGTGTGTGTGTGTGTGTGTGTGTGTGTGTGTGTGTGTGTGTGTGTGTGTGTGTGTGTGTGTGTGTGTGTGTGTGTGTGTGTGTGTGTGTGTGTGTGTGTGTGTGTGTGTGTGTGTGTGTGTGTGTGTGTGTGTGTGTGTGTGTGTGTGTGTGTGTGTGTGTGTGTGTGTGTGTGTGTGTGTGTGTGTGTGTGTGTGTGTGTGTGTGTGGTGTGGGGCCCGAAATGGGGCGGGGCCGCCATGTGAACCCTGCCACTGGGGCCTTCGGTGGAGCTCCCTACGGGGCCACGAAGTGTGTGAGAGGTGTATGTGAACCCTGCCACTGGGGCCTTCGGTGGAGCTCCCTACGGGGCCACGAAGTGTGTGAGAGGTGTACCGCGGGGCCGCCATGCGAACCCTGCCATTGGGGCCTTCGGTGGATCTCCCTATGCGGCCACGAAGCGTGTGAGTGGTGTGCCGAAACAGACTCAGAAACATGCTGAGGGCAGAGGCAAAGAGACGGAGGAGGGAGGAGGGGGAGGAGGAGAGGAGAGGAACGCGGGGCGCTGTCTTTTCAAACGGAGGACCCAACACCACAGGATGGTTGGGAACAGCCAAAAACCTTTCCCAGCCTCCCGCCCCGCGGAGCGGAGCGACACGCTATCAGCCCGCAAGGCGTAGCGGGTCGACGGGGCCGACGCCGCGGCACGCATTTCGACACGCCACAGCGTGCCTGAGGGCACGGCAGCGGACAAGGCGCCCGCACGGGTGGTGCTCTTGGTGCGGGCCGCCAGGGGCGGCGCGGAGGACGAGTCCGACGACGAGGCTCCGCCAGCGGCGAAGCGGTCGGTGCCCTCGCTGGCGCCCCTGGCGCCAGCGGCCGGGGCGGAGCCGGTGAAGTGGAACGGCCGAGAGGTGATGCGGGGCGTGAAAACGACCACAGCCACTGCTTTTCTTTTGTTGCCGCCTTCCAGCCCGCAGAAACAAAGCAGTGGTTGTGGTAATTTTCGTTGAGCTTGGCACCAGGGAAATGACCACAACTACTGCTTCTTTTTCGGCCGGCTGGAAGGCGGCGCAAACAAAAAGCAGTGGCTGTGGTCATTTTCCCGTCCCGCAGGTGACGAAGCCCCTGGGGCTGATGACAGACATTCCGAAGGTGCCCGTCGGGAAGCCCTACTCGAAGGAGTTGCGCCTGCTCAAGCACGTGTTCGAGACCGCCACCAAGGGCGACCCTGTGTCCGTGTGCAACGCCATAGAATCGTACGGTACAGATACGCTGGGACCCACCAGCCAGTGGCTCAAGATCGCGGGGGACGTGAAGACTCTTGTCCTCACTAATGCGGTGGGGGCGGCCCACCCGAGGGGAGCAATCTTGGAAGTTGGCTGCTACTGCGGCTATTCTTCCTCGCGCATGGCTGCGGCGGCCCCCAAAGGCCACATCTGCACGCTGGAGGTGGACCAGGGCTGGACCTAAACGCTGTTTTGCTGGACTCCGGCTGTGTTTTGCTTTTCGTTTTGGCAGGGAAGTACAGGAAAACAGGTAGAGCAAAACGAACAACAACACGAAAACAAAACGAACAACAACGTTTAGGTCCACCCCTGAGGTGGACCCCGTGCACGTCATCGTAGCTAGAAACGTCCACCTGTTCGGTGGCATCAGCGACCGCGTCGACGTCTGGACCGGCCACAGCAAGGACCTCGTCGCGCGGATAGAGGGGCGCTACGGCGGCCCTGGCATGTTCAAGGTCGGCGCCGTCTTCTTCGACCAGAAAGGATCTCGTTACGACGAGGATTGTGGAGGACGGTAAATGGAGAGGACGTATGTTGCCAAATAATTTCCAGATGTATAACAATGTTGAACGTATGTCTAAACAAAAAAACATGTTTTGATTTTTTTTTCAGAACCTTGTCCAAACATTATAAGCACATGTTTAATCCAATGATTGGATTGTTAGGGTGTCCATTGTCCTGGCATCCACAAGACGAGGACCTTGTGAATTTGGAGAAGCAGGGGATGATGCTCCCAGGGGCCTTGGTGGTCGCAGACAATGTGCTGAAGCCGGGCGCGCCCATCTGGTGCTGGCGCCTTTTCAAGGGCGTCAATTACTTTAGCCAGATTGTCAGCATGAACGAGTTCGCAATGCCCTCGGAGGATTGGATGACTCTCTGCATTCGCCGCACCGAGATGCCCCCCGTGCAGAGGCAGGAGTGGCCCAGGAAGCCCCTCACCGAGGAAGACCTGGCGAACATGGGTGACGAGACCAACCCGTTGAAGCAGAGGTTGCCGATGGAGGGCTTGCCCGTGCCCACCCAGGAGATGAAGACCATGAACTGGGAGTGCGACAGGGTCCGAGAGAGGGCATTCTCGGCTGTGCGCAGCGTGACGTTCCAGGAGTGGTCGGAGTTCGCCGCCGACCTGAAGAAGAAGATGGCCGATCATGACATCGTGGTGACTGTGGACGCGACGACCGCCACTGGGTAAGGCTCTTGCTGTAGGCGAAGCTGCAGGGAAGGCAACTGAGCTGGCATGGTTGGCGTTGAATCATCATCATAATCATCATCATCATCATCATCATCATCATCATCATCATCATCATCATCATCATCATCATCATCATCATTATCAGCATCAGCATCAGCATCAGCATCAGCATCAGCATCATCCTCCTCCTCATCATCATCATTCTTATCCTCGTCCACTTCCTCACCATTACCGATTTCGCCATCGTCATTACCGCCTTTACTGAGATCAACATTGATGTCGGGGGCGTGGGGGTGGTTTGGAATCTCGCTCGAATGCGTAAGGGCTTGAATATACACTGTCCAGTCCATGGCAAGGTCTTTGCAGTTTTTGCATCTTGCTCAAAGCGACCCCTCACGAATCCAAGATCCCATGAATTGGGGAAGAGGGTGGAGGACGAGGCGAAGGATGAGGAGGATAAGGATCAGGATGCGGAGGGAGGGGAGATGAGGGTGAGGATCAGGATGCGGAAGAGTAGGAGCAGTAGGGAGAGTCAGGAGGATTGAAAAGGATGAGAATGGGAGTTGGTGGGGAGGAGGATTTCGCAGCAGGTGCTGGAGGAGTACGTCAGAGGAAGCAAGGAAGAGGAGGCGATGGGAGGGGAAGGGGGGGGCATGGGAGGAGGGGAGGGGAGGGGAAGGGACAAGAGCAACGGGGAGGGCAGGGGGGAGGGGATCGGAGGGGGTCGGGAGAGAGCATGGAAGACGGTTCTGTGGAGAGCTGCCTTGGGCCATCTTGAGGTCTCTCAGGCCCCATGGATCCCCGGAGCTGCGAACAGGTCGATTTTGCCTGCCCAGGGTTACACGTTTCTCTCGTCCTACCGTCCACAACAGGCAATGGGTGCATTATCGAAAGCTGGAGACGGTCCTGTGGAGAGCGGCCTTGAGCCACCCTCAGGCCTCGGAGGCCCCATGGTTCTCCAGAGCTGCGAGCAGATCGATTTATTCCTGCCCAGGGTGCTATAGTCAGCGCATACACATGATTGCGATTTCTCCTTCGCACATGCGGTTCCTTCTTCCGCCGTCCGTTGGTTTTGGGTTACTGCACATCCTTCATCGTCGCCATGGCGGATGGACAGGCGCTCACTCGTGCTTTTGATGGGTTGTCTAGTAGGCTTTCAGGAAAGCAACTGGCGAGGCAGCCGACAAGGCAGCCAACGAGGCAGCCTACGAGGCACCCAGCGAGCCGGCGAACGAGGGCTTCGACGAGGCAGCCCGTGGGGCAGCCAAAAAAACAGCCGTCGAGGCAACCAACAAGGCAGCCAGCGAGGCGGCCAACGAGGTAGCCCACGAGGCAGCCAACGAGGTAGCCCACGAGGCAGCCAGCCAGGCAGCGACGCGGCCGCCAGGGCAGCCAGCGAGGCAACCGACAAGGCCACCGACAGCACCCGGCAAGGTAACCAGCTAGGCAGCCAACGAGACAGCCAGCGAGGCAGCCAACGAGGCAGCCATCGAGGCAGCCAACGAGGCAGCCAACAGGCAGCCGAGCAGGCATGCCACCAGGAACCAGGCATCCACACGCCTTCCCACTCCTCGCCGCCGCTCCCCCGCAGTCGTCCGCACCCTTCCGCACTCCGCCCAAAAGCTCCGAAACCCTGCCATTCCATTCCTCCAGGCCCTCCGCACTTTCCCCAAGAACTCTAGAACCTCCCAATTCTCTCTCTCTCTCTCTCACACACACACACCCGCACTCCCCCCGAAACCTCCGCAACCGTCCCATTCCCTTCCACCCCTCCGCACTCTTCGCAAACTTTCCGCAACCGTTCCAGTCCTCCGACCCCCCCCCCCGCACTCTTCCCGAAACCTCCGCAATCCTGCCATTCTCTCCACCCCTCCACACTCTTCCGGAACATCCGCAACTCTCACTCCTCTACACCTCCGCATCCCTCCCGAAACCTCCGCAACCCTCCCATTCCTCCACATCCCTCCACACTCCTCCCGAAACCTCTGGAGGTCTTCGATATTTCCCCACCCTTCCGCACTCCTCCCGAACACCCACAACTCTTCACTTCCTCCCGACCCCTCCGCACTCCTCCCGAACCCTCCGCTACCCTTCCATTCCTCCACATCCCTCGGGAGCTCTTCCATTTTTCCGCACTCCTCCCGAGACCTCCGCAACCCTCCCATTCCTCCACATCCCTCCGCACTCCTCCCAAAACCTCAGCGACCCTCCCATTCTTCCAAATCCCTCCGCACTCCTCCCAAACCTTGTGCAACCGTCCCGTTCCTCCCCACACCTCCGCACACCTCCCGGAGGAGATTTCCGCATCCCATCCATTCTCCCCCACCCATCCGCACTCCTCCCGAAACCTCCGCAACCCTCCCAGTCTTCCCCAAGCCTCCGCACTCCTTCCAAACCTCCCGCAACCGTCCCACTCGCCCACAACCCTCCGCACTCCTCCCAGTCCTCTGGAACTCTCCAATGCCTCCAGACCCCTCCGCACTCCTCCTAAACTTTCCGCAACCGTCACATTCCCTTTAAACCTCCACGCTCCTCCCAATCCTCTGGGGATTCTCCAATTCCGCCAGACCCCTCCGCACTCCTCCTGAAACGTCTCACACCTTATTTCAGCGCCTTCCCCCCAGGAGTAGAACCTCCAACGGTGATGATGCTGCTGATGATGATTCTGATTACGATGATCGTGATGATGACGGTGATGGTGACGATGATTATTGTTGTAATGATAATGTTGATGATGTTGATGACGATGGTACTGATGATGATGATGATGATGGTGGTGATGATGGTGACAATGGTGTTGGTGGTGGTGTTGCTGCTGATGATGATGCTGATGATGACGGTGATGGTGATGGTTGCTGCTGATGATGATGTTGATGATGATGACGAGGATGATGATGATGATGATGATGATGATGATGATGATGATGATGATGTTGACGATAATGAGGATGATGAGGAGGAGGACGATGATGATGCTGATGATGACGATGATGACGACTAGAAGATGACGACGACGACTGCGACGATGATGATGGTGATACTCATTATGATGATGATGACGATGCTGACGAGAAGGATAAGGATGAGCATGAGGATGATGCTGATGATGACGATGACGATAACGACGATGCCGATGACGATGACGACCATGATGGCGATGATGATGACGATAATGGTATGATAATTGCTGGTGGCGATTGTGATGATGATTATGACGATGGTGAAAATGATGACGCCGATGAGAGCGATGATGATTGTACTGCTGACGTTTGGCATCTGTAGGGCCTCCTCCTCTCCCTCCTCCCTACTCCCACCTGCCAAACAAGATGGGGGATCTCTTCCTGCTCTTTGTCCTCTTCCTCTTCCTCTCTCTCTCTATCTCTCTCTCACTCTCTCTCTCTCTGTCTCTATCTCTCTCTCTTCTCCCACCTCGTCCGCACTCCTCCCCACTCCTCCGCACTCCTCCCGAGACCTCCGCAACCCTCTCATTCCTCCACATCCCTCCGCACTCCTCCCGAAACCGCCGCAAACCCTCCCATTCCTTCACGCCCCTCCGCAATCCTCCCGAACCCTCCGCTACCCTCCCATTCCTCCACATCCCTCCACACTCCTTTCGAACCTTGTGAGGTCGGTCCTGACAAGGACGGGTGACGGGAGGCTGGCTGGGAATCGCCTGGTGCCGGGTGGCGAGTGCTGGGTGCCGTGTGCCCGGGCGCCGGGTCGCTGGGTGCCGGGTGCAGGTGCTGGGTGCCGGGTGCCGGGTGCCAGATGCCCGGTGCCAGGTGCCGGGTGCCGGGTGCCGGATGCCGGGTCGCTGGATGGCGGGTGCCGGGTGCCGGGTGCCGGGTCAGAGTCGCGGGGTCGCCTGGTCGCCGGGTGCAGGCCGGGTGCTGGGTGCCGGGTGGCAGGGCCATTAATGTGCCAGATCCCCGGTGCCGGGTGCAGGGTGCCGGGTGCCGGGTCCCGACCGACCCACTTGTTAGGTCGCAATCGCGCAAATTCGATGATGCATTATATTTGCGCGTCCCGCCCGCCCGACCCGATCCGCCCGTTAGGGTCCGCCCGACCGCGACGGGGGCAGGATTCCAGTTTCGGCGGGCACAGACGGTTTCTAGAGGCCATGATTGGGCACGCTGTTTCGGGGGGCAGGTGCGAGAATTTTGGACTTCAGTTCGCTCCTTCAGGTTTTTCTGGAGGCGGCTTGGCGAGAGAACGGGGGGATGACGACATTTTCCACCAGGAACCAGGTTGGGAGGAGGAGGAGGAGGAGGAGGAGGAAGAGGAGGAGGGGTACGGGGACGAGGAGGAGGAGGAGGAGGCACGCCAGGACGAACGCTGTCAGGAGGACCGCCACGACGAGAGATTTGCTTCGTTCTCGTTTCGTTTCGTTTGAGTTTCGCTTTCGTTTCCGCCCTCGTTTTCGCCTGCGTTCTCGCCGTCGTGCCTCTCTCCTTTCGACTTCGTTTCCGCTCTCGTTCTCGCATTCGGTCTCGCCTTCGTTTCGTTTCGTTTCGCCCTCGTTTCCGCTCTTGTTCTCGCCTTCGTTATCGCCTTCGTTTCGCTTTTATTTCCGTCTCGTTCTGCCTTCGCGTTCGCCTTCGTTCCGTTTTCGTGTCGCCCTAGTTTCCAATATCGTTTTCGTTTTCGTTATCGTTTTCGTTTCGTCGTTGTTTCCCTTTCGTGTCCGCCCTTGTTCTCACCTTCGTTCTCGCTTCGTTCCCGCCTTCGTTCTCGCCTTCGTTTCGCATCCGTTTCCGCCCGAACCAAGTGGGCCTTGCCTAACCGAGCCCCTGGGTCTTACCAAACCAACCGCGTTTTCCCAAACCAAGCGGATCTTCCCAAACCAATCACCTAGGTCTTCCTAAACCAGCTGGGTCTTCCCAAACCGCGCCCCCAAGTCTTCCCAAACCAACCTGGTCTTCCAAAACCGACCGGGTGGTCATGTTTTTTTGGAAGCGGCTTGGCGAGGGAGCGGGGGGAGGACAACGTCTTCCACCATGCACCAGGCTGAGAAGAGGAGGAGGGGGAGCGACATTGGCCAACAAGGCAAGGGCGGACAAGGGAA